ACTGTAAGGATTTTAGACACTGAACAAGACTATTTCTTGAGAGGGGTGAAGGAAGCCATTTACATCAGGGCCCATCACCCTACATTGAACCGCGACGGGGGCCGACATCGTCTACCAGATACCTTTGACCCAGTGTTGACGTCACACTTCAAAGAAGCCACGTGACAAGCTTCACTGGGTCAGTCTACTGAGGAAGACCAGAGTGACTGGTTGAAAGCTCTAGGTGAGAGAATTTTTGTGTTGGATCAAAAGTTTTAACTTTAAACATCATGGATCATATTCAATCTATAAAGTCATACATTGTAGATATCAATCCACACTCAATGGTCATTCAAAGATCCAGTGGAAAGTAGGATTTCTAACAACTCCACAAAGGCACACACAGTTGTAAGACTCATTGATAAACTACTCTAACTTATAGTAACTATTGTCTTCCAATAAAGTTAAATGTATAATATATAATATTTACTTTATAGCAGGGACAAAAGCTTTGGTCACATTCAGGACAGACAGTGCAGGTGAGTTACTCATCAGTCTTGTCTGTGGTTGTTTGTACCTTAGCTAACATCAGGACAGGTATAAATAAAAGTAGACCTCCCATCGCATAGCACGGCAGAGCACCAAGTCCCCAGTACACTGTAGGAAGGGAAAAAAAGCTAGGTTAGGCCTAGCCAAAACTTGCCAATTTGCAAGTTGTCATGTTTCAGGCTGTGATACCAACAACTACAACAATGCATGCATATGTTGCCCTGACACTACCACTAATTGATTTTGTTACCTCTTTGAGAGTAAATCTTAAACAATAATCTAAAAAGCAATTGTATTTTATAAGTATGTCCATAACTAATTTATAAGATGTAAATTTATTGGTTCATGTGTAAATCTTAACAGTTACTTAATGTTATGCATTCGTATTTTACGCAAGTATGTCTATAAGTAATTTATAACTGAACCCTACCAGACATTGCTACATATGAATATTGTTTTGTATAGCACTAGAGTAATTGTCCTTAGAATTTTTAATGATTGAACACGCCAATTTTAACGTTGTATTATATTGTAACGTTTTTAACTGCAAATGTTTAATTACTTAAGTTAGACTGACACGTTTTTAAAACCGCCTCACAATTCAGCCCGTCACGGCTACCAGGAGGCATTTATGTAACAACTAAAGTTCTAATAAACCAGTCTACTACTACTACCACTACATGTAAACTTATCATGTAGTCATGTATGCATGCAGTTTAAGATTATCCAATTCTGGTACTATGTACTACTTAGTCTATAGCTCTGTCACGATAGTTCCCATTTACCTGTAGATGCAGCCACTGGGCCGAGTGCTCGTGCTAGAGCCCCCAACGAACGTAAAATCCCCATCACAGTTCCCTTTTGGTCTGTACCACCTGCGGAAACCAAAATAATAATGTTAAATGTTCGTCAAAACATCAGTTGAAAGCATCCAATGCAATTTCAGGGTGGCAAAACAAAAAATATTCTGGATGAGGGAATCTGTCTAAATTGACATTTACTGCGATTTCTTAGCCCTTTTTTGACATCATTCAAACAGAGGAGTAATTAATAAGCTGTATGCTTGCTTTGTCGATTTTTGAAAAGCCTTTGATTCAATTTGGCAAGTGTTAACCTAGACAGTAAACCTTCCTTACCATATGCAGATGTCATAGCTGTCAGACAGGGGACAACTGTTGCAGAGGCTACGAGGGAAACAATACAAACATGCTGTAAGTTATAGAATGCACTGTGAAGAACTAATCAATGGAATACAATGTACATTGTCACAAGATCTGGTTTTAGTATTATTTACATGTATGAGTAAGAAATCCTGCTTCTTAGTTTTCTACTATAATTACGTTCTATGTCAAATTCAAAATGTATAGTCACGTGCTTAACTTTGATTACCGGTATGTGTTTGTGTCAAAGATTCCTTTTAAGCACTTTTAAAGTTACAATAACAACTACGTCACTATAAAAGATTTTATATCATACCTGGGCTGCTACATTTGATACGATACGGGTCCTCCGCCACATCTGATAACTATAGCAGTACAGCCTGGGGTTCTAAATGGTTATCACACAGGATTCCAAATGTTCCAGAATGATTCGAGAATGTGTCGCCTGAGCTGCGTGTGGCAGATTCGGACGATGGAATTGATGTTGTTACATTTTTTGTTTAGGGACACCAAATTTTGGCACATTTCGCATTGAAACGCATGTCTCTGGTGCATATGGCATAAATAAAATACAACACGGTGTATTCCGCATACCCCTCAGTCCCAGCCCTCCCGCGGGTTGGATCTCCCTCCTCTGACACTTACCGAATGAGAAAAGGCCCAGTCCTACGTAGAACAGCAGGGTTGACTCGGCTGCACCAATCAGAAGGAAGGATGGAACTAGGATGGCCATACCCTGCATTGGGAAAGAAACAATATCACCTGCAGCATGTAACACAGCTTTGGGCAATAATCTGTGCAGATTTTTTCACCATCTCCCTGCAGTGAATTCTGTTGTATACTACATTATGTATATAGCTGCTATAACTGCCCTTTGGTGTAAGACAACAGCCACGCGGCACAGTGTATGGAAGCTGCCAGTATTACATCGAACAACTAACTTGTTATATGCAGCCTTTGAACATCTAAACCTAAACATCGTTTAAAGCTCTATCCAGTGAGGATGCCCCTACTGTACTGGTGGCAGCGAGTTCCACTCTACAATACATCTAGGAAAAAATAAGTCCTTGGTTGATTACTCTGGTACTTGAAAGCATGAATATTTCTTCTTCTTCATATTGTGTACCTCAATTAATGTACCAAAAGCAGTTAGTGGTAAGAGCAGAAGACAGCAAGGAAGGATTTAAGCGACATGATACAGTAATCAAAATTGACTCTCGGAGCACTACATGTAGTACTACAAGGTAATGATGAAGGCTAATCTTTAAGCAGATCCTGAGGAGGCAAAAGACAGTATCAAATTGGCCAGGCAATATCCATTTGGGAGAGTGAGTCCCCCTTGACCATGGGTGGCGTATAGACCCTCTCTGGATATTGCCTGGCCAATTTGTCACCCTAAGATCTGCTTGGTGATTACATGTAGATGAAGGAATGTTTTACCCTGCTTGCTATTTTCTTCTCTGTCCCAGGTGAAATCCTCCTGGAGTACCCCCCCTGTGTCACCAGCATGATCAGTCCCATGTACAGGAACATTCGGCCCTGCTGCATGCTGGGAAGATTGTACCATCAAAGTTAAAATAACCAATATTCACCTGACTCATACAAGCTTGACTTAACTGTTTTGCAATGTAGAAATATTAATAATATAATGAATAATGCAACCACTTAGGTGTCAGATCATGGAGCTAGAAAATGTTGATCAGTTTGAACACACACAAAAAAAGCTAGGGTCGGCAGTTTTTTCTAGGGTCGGTCGGGATACAGGGAACACACCATTTTATTTCCTAGGCCTGGCCTACATGTACCTGGTATACTGGAACTTGTTGTGAGTCAGGAATGTGAGCGTGTACTCCAGCCCAGAGAACAGGAACAGGTACAGGAAGTACGTGGATCCCAGAGACTGCAGGCTCTCCAGTTCTGTGGGTTTTCAAAGTTCAAGTTCACATCTTTAAAACAATGTTTGAAGACGTATAATTCATCCTGGAAGAAAAATACACATGGTATTGCCCCCCTCCTTCATAAGAGTGTGGTCATGGCTTCCGATTCTAACGTCGTTAATAAATTTGAGCTTATGTTGCTACATGTATATGCTGATGTACAACATACAATAGGGCTATCTTTAATAAATTTTGAAAAGGAGATACCCCTTTACTTGAAGATCTGATTTTTTATGGGAGATTCAGAAAAAATGAAATAAAAAAAGAGTGGCTGACATAGATTTTGCACCATACTTCAACATTTCATTTCTCATTTCTATTATACTGGTCATGGGGGACATTGCATTGGAGATCTCTTAAAACAAATTTCCTGGGAGGCTTAATTCATATGTTACATCAATGAACACACAATACAATACATGGTAATTATAACTAATACATGACAATGACTTCTATGAGTCACCCATATGGTTAGAGTGTCTTTTTAGACTTAAAAGTCTAGCTCTGACACCTTTCAATCCCACCTAGACACAAACTTGCTCCCAAACGTGGAATGCTCCTATGATTCTCAGGCATTTACTCTGGCAGACTGGTAGAGTCATTAGCACTTATCTCTCTAACACAATCTAACATATACCACTGCTGATGAGACCACTGTGGTCAGGATTTACTAAATCACTCATCATTATCTGCCACTGCATGGACCCTTTTAGATGCTTATCCAAGGGGCAACAATTGAACCATGTTTAGCTGGGTGAACAATCCCACAGCTCAGTCCATTGTCTCAAACACTTACTTTTAAATCTGCCCACAGTTGCCCCAGTTGTAGTTCTTACACACACTCACCCATGTCGACCCCATGCAATTAAATTTTGCATTCACACTGAGTCTCATGGTTTTGGCTGAAGGGAATTATTTTGGAGAAAATCTAATTGATCTACAATGTTCACATTCAAAAATATCAGTTTGATGAAATCTGAAATGAGTTGATGGTCAAACCTTCTAGATTTGAACAGGGTCAAAGTCTCAGAACAGAGAATGGTGTATTGCACATGTACCAGGTACAAAAGAATGTGTTGAAAACTCCATGTTGTACATATTAAATCTTTGTAACAAATTCTTCTGCCCCCCCCCCCCAAAAGGACATTGAGTAACCAATCTTTCTGTTGAACATTAATGTAATGATTATAATGTGGCTCCTGTGTGGGAAACAATTTAGTTTTGGTGAAAAGAATTTTCAGTGAGTCACTGTGACAGCTTTGGACAAACTTTTCTGTTAGACAACAGCCGGAATTTGTATCATGCATCTAAAACTGTCCCAAGATTGTCCCAAGTTGTAAAGTTGTTCAACAATGAATCGATCTGGGGGGATTACCAATAGTTCCTGGACCAGGTACATTTTTTTGTACTAATACAAAACCTGTTGGAATTTCTAAAAGATAAGGTTAAGCCTTGTCTTAATGGACATATCACACTAGTTGTCAGGTGGAAGTGATATGCTTACTAAAGCCCCAACCATTTGGGTGGTATGGGAACCAGGTTTTCCACTTCAATCAACAAACATAACTCATGCACAGATTCTCCCAGTTAGACAAACACTGCATGGATTAAATCCTTCTCTCTTAAGCTGTTTGACTACTAGGTTCATTTAAAACAATTGCACACATTTGTGTGTCAACACATGTCCAGTGTATATCACAAGTATAATTTCATACCATTTTTCTGGAGACTTTTACTACTGTAACATGACATATAACTATTCCAAAGTCTTATAGCATGTGACAACACTTTCACCTTTCACATTGTATTTGTTATAATCCAGATGGGAGTGATGAGATGAAAATTCAAATAATCATTTCCTCCTTAATACTTGTAAATATTTTAAAAGTAAATATTACCATCATGTTTTTTTTTCAGAGTGAAATAATACATATTCAAGTGGTTGAATTGCTAAAATCATGCTTTGTACATGTATGTGAAGTTATACGACGTGTTAAAATCATTGTTGGTACTGTCATGACCTGGATTCCTCATGTGCACAGTTTAACAGAGAAAACCTAATATACATGTACATACAATAGTTTAAATGCCATTGTTGTTACAGTCTTAATAGAAAAGCAGGGACCACAGTGAAGTATTAAACCCAACAAATGATAACCCTACACTCCCATTTCTTGGGAATGATCTGATAAGAATGATTTCATTCTTGTGGAAGAACAAGCTAAAAGCCAGGATTTCTGTGTCCAACAGAGAAACTCCTAATTTGTTACTTAACTGTTCGAGATAAAGAGAAATGTTTCCATTGTTAGAGAGAGGATAGATACAAGCCTAGTCCAGAAGGAAATACAGGAGATTACACTTAAAGACCTGATTTTATCACTTCTTTCACCGGATGTAAAAAGTGTGAAATACAAATTGCCTATCTGTCAGAGAATCTAGGAGGGATATAACAAAAAGAAACAAGCCGCCCTGCAAAGATTCTGGAAAATACCAGAATTACAAGCATCTGATCTGCATATTAGGCAATTTTGTGGTTTATCCCTTCCCTTTCCAGGATGAAATAGAAATGTTAAATAGGAGTTTAGAATAATAGCAACATATCATGGTAAGTTATGTGTATTACAATTTTTTTTGCTTATTATAATGTGCACGTACATGTATTACAGGAATACTAGTGTGTCAATTGTCAATATTTACTTTTTGTAAACTTGACCTTAAGAATACACTTGTTCACTTGTTGCACTATATTTGGTGTATCAAACTACAGAAGTTTTTCAAAATTTAGGGAAAGATTCATTGAAAATTTGTCCTGTTGACAGGATAAAAAGTAGCCATTCCTTATTGCACAAAATGTACATCTGCAGTTTGGAGGTAAGTTGATAGGAGGAGATGCTGTATGTGACAGGAACAGCTCTCCTTGAGATCCAAAATGAACACTTCTTGCTATTATTTTAAAGACATGTTTCAGGGTGGCAAAACAAAAAATACTGGATGAAGAAATCTGTCTGATATTGACATTTACTGCCATTTCTTAGCACAGTTTCATCATCATTTCAAACAAGAAGACTTTATGTCTTAACCTTGCACAGAATTGCAATACTTGAGTCTACATATTGTACTCCTTACCTTTCTTTGTCAGATTTTTGACTGCAGAGAAACTGAAGAGAGACGGAGGGTTGATCAGGAAGGACGCCTCACTCAGCCCGTTACCGATAGACTTGGCCTGAATAAAAATGCCATTGCAAGATCTACAATCATGTAGTCTACTTGTACTGTGATTGATAACCTCAATACTAAACAATGCCTAAATTTAGTTTGTACATACATTTGTACATGTATATGTTTCAATCTATGAAAGTGGCCTTATAATATATTTTGTAACATTCAAATCAAATCAATTTTAAATTTTGCTTTCTAGTGTGTGTACGTGTGTGTGTGTGTGTATTACTGCACAATGTTCTGCATATTTGTTCCATAATATTAGAATTACTGGTAAATTAATAATGTCAAAACCAACTAATTATTGTATTACTGTGATGTTACATAATTTTATCATCTGAAATTAATGTATTGAAATCAGTTTGAAGAAGCTCAGATTGTAGAAGACTTACTCTTTTTTCCTTTGGAAGTGTCTCTGGTAGGAAGAACGTGATAAACACGATGTTACAGATGGAGAGAGTCAGTGCAAACAGAGCTGGGGTGGAGAAGAAGTGTCCCTCATCGGATATCCGGGAAAACCAAGCACCAATGGACGGACCAACCAGGAACCCCAGAGAGAAGGCAATACCGATCACAGCCTGGGTATTGAGTCAAGAAAATACAGGGTCAGATACAAAATGTAGTAAACAAAATACAGGTTCAGGTACAGTGAACAGTGGACCACACTTTGACGTCCGGTCCCTTACATGTAGTACCAGTGAAGCATGAATTTTGGGTGAGCGACAACTGCTGGGAATCGAACTCTGGGCTTCTAGGTCTAGAGGCAGGGTCACATCATGCACACTTCAGTTTACATGTACATTGATTGTTCTTAATAGATATCTTTGGTACAAGCTATGATCAACTACCCGGTATAATAATGTGTCAAAACAATAGGCAGTACAATAATTATACATTGTAGCATATTGAGCAAAATTCTACTTTTGCCACCGAAGAACAAACAATTCAGTTCAGACAATGTTACACTAAACAAACAAATAAAATGTAGCTAAACTAGTTAAGAAATTACCATTCCGTGTCCTTTTGACTTGGCAGACTTGAGGTCAGCTACGACGGCTGTTGCGAGACTGACGTTCCCCTTACTGATCCCACCCAGTACTCTGGCCAGGACAAACACACCAAAGGTGTACGACACAGCCCACACACTGTAGGAGCACGCTATACCAACCTACAGGCGAGAATACACAAGTCACATGTACAGAACAGTTACTCTAAATGTTACATCCATTCCAATATAATATGAGAAAATGTTGACTATCTATGTACATGTATACAAAGGCCACAACAATTTAATTTTTTGGTTCACAGATTTGCCCGCTTCATTTTTTTCTGATTTGCAAAAAAAAAAGTAACATGAACTGAATGAACTCCAAAAGATATGTAAGAGAGCGATATATGACGCTTATGAGAGATCTTCCTTGTGAATGCTTCCCAAATGCATGGGTATAACCTTAAACTTTTCAAGTCTAAGGTAAACAAACATCTGTCTTTACAGTCCTTACTGTCACCCAAAACCTATATGACTGAGTGTTTTGTTTTGGAGAGCCTTGTTTTGAGATGACAATTGTAGTAGAAAAGAAAAAAAAACAACTATAGTCTGGTCTTACAGCAGACAGGAGCATGAGAGGCTTGCGTCCGTACACGTCTGACAGCGCACCAATCAGAGGGGCCGATAGGAACTGCAGCAGGGAGAACAGGGACCCCAGGATTCCTGTGGGACAACACGGCACATATTATTAGTCTTTCCTCAGATCAGGTATATACTGCTTTGGGCATAAAAATTGAGTTATATGGGGTTAGGCTAGTCTCCACCAGTCTAATTTGCAGGCTGAATAAATTGTAGAAATTGGCCTAAAAAGGTGACTTGTACAGGTGTATGATATAAATATGCCTCACAAATTAAAATGCTGTAACAGGACCATGCATGTGCACTAGGTAAGTAGGTTTATGTACACATATTGTTACAGTAACAGTTTTAAACATTACAACATTACATTAAAACCGCTCACCTCCAAACAGTACAGCATTAAACCTCCTGGTCTGTGGAATACCCAAAGTAAGAGCAAACCAGTCCACATATTCCTGTATGGCTCCATACAGGCCACCCTGGGATAGAAAGATAGTAAACACTTAAAACAGCAAAAAATAATCATTGTTTGTCACTCATGAGTCAAATCCACCATTTTCTTACTAAAACCCTCCAGTTTAATTTGTGACTGACCTCCCAGACCTCAGCAACCTTACACCCAGTTGGGTTAATATCGCAAATTATAGGTAAAAATTATGTAAGAAATATGTACCAACCATTCAAGAGTTATGCATAATTATGCATAAGGTTCCAAGGGTTATGCACATTGTGATTACATGCACGAGGTTCCCATTTGCTGCGCATAAGGTTGGCTTATGAACAATTTTGTATAACTGTTGGAATTATTACACATAACTCTTGACCATTATGCAAAATTAACCTTTCAAAGTCTTATACATAATATATACTTTATATATTTATCTGTTGAAATAGAGAACCATGCCTCACTGTATTGTTTAAATTTGAAAAAAAATTGTATCTCTTGTGTCTAATGCCATTAATCATTAGCCATAAGTACATAATGTTACATGTACTACTATATCACTACCGGCATAAAGTTTCCTTGCAGTTTCTAAAATCTAAGACTTTGCAGGTGCATGGGTTTGCTATTTATGTATCAAAGCTCCTACGTTCTACAACACATGGTTAATATGTACCTGATCCACCTGCCCATAGTAGTCCAGGAGAGAAGGCATGAGGGGCAGGATGACAGTAAAGGCCAGGAGGTCCACCAACAGGAGCACAAACACTGCCAGGAGAACTCTCGAGTCGTTCTTATCACCTTCTTCCACATTGTCTTGGAAGGCTGACTCGGGCCTAGATCTCTCCTGCTTGGTGGCCATCTTCTGTTTCTTGGGAAAAAGGTGTAGGGTTAGTTATTGGGGCCTGCATGGGGGTCCCAACAAGATGGCCTGCATATGCCCTTTTTAGTAGGCGTAATCAGGCCTTTTTAGTCTTCGTAATCCATAGGCAGCCACCCAAAATCATTGTAATTTGTAATTGTTATTCTTAATCCGTGGTGAAAACTTTGGTGTAATTTTAAATGACAACCCCACCACCCCCATGCAAGCCCTCCAACAAATCTGTTTACGTACATATAGGTTAAATTCAGGATGGCAGCGGCTATATATATGTCTTACATTGATTTGGGCAGGCTGGCCACACTTGGCACAAAATTTAGGTGCCAAAAAATACAGCCTAGTATACAGGCCTCCAGTTATTGGTTCTATTTGAACAACTACCGGTATGTCTACATTGTTATCTAATGCACACCTGTAACACAATACAACATGGCCTGGCTAGGACAGGCTTTCTCTCACAGGGTTAGGTCCTTGAGATATTTTTGTCCATCATTGCCTGACATGCAAACTTAACCTTCACACATCTTATATACAAATGTTTAACTTCCAGGGATGGAGAATTAATCATACAGATGGCTTCATTCAGTCAACAGTGTTAATAACTGTTATTATCATATGACATTAACAAAATGGTACAGCAAGAAATTCAGTCAAACATGAAATGAGAAAAAGATATCATTTACCAAAAAACATTCAAGTATAAAAATACTGATAATCGAAATAAAGTTTAGAATACAAACTTTAAGTCCGAATCAGACATCTGTTTTGCAAGTCATGGCCGCACCCAAACCACTTTATCTAAGAAGGTTATTTTTAGATCAAGGACTTCTTAGGGCAGACAGGAGTACTCAGAAGTCTTACAACTTCCAAGGAAACCATTTTGGTGCCGTGTTAGCACTGTTCACAGGGCGGCAGGGGGCAGAAAAATACTAGTAGTTTAAATTGGCCAGAACAGGCTGACTAATTTGCAAGAGAAGTTGGGCCAGTCAAGGAGTTACGCATTGTCTACTGTGGGGTGTAACAGATCAACAAGTTTTAGAGATCTTCTTGAGATGATCTTTAGCTGCAGTAGTGTTGGGTTAATCATTACTTGAATCAACCTTAAGGTGCTCATGCAATCACTGGACCAGCAAGGCATCCACTTAGGTTCTTGAAGTGTTTTAACAGTGCTGTGAAGGTTCTACAAACAGAACTTCTAGTATAGAGTCTGAAACAAAAGTGGGGAGGAGGGGGGAGAGGGAAGCTAAGAATAGTGGTGGGGGAAGGGAAAGGGTGGTCCCAGGGTTGAGAGATTGGTGGGGGAAGGGTTTACAAAGGGGCAAGAGTGGTGAGGGGGAAGAGTTTTAGC